TCTCTCCAGTGATGTGCCTGCCTCCCCGATTTGTTACAATTCCTCATATACGTACAACTGGTGATCTTGCATAAGTTGCTGGTAAAAGTCAACACATTACGGGATACAGGTCAACCTGGTATCTTCTGCATCCCACTTTGTTTTCAATCTCTGCCCACACGCACTTCCCTTTCCACTGCTTCCCAAATGGCAATCCCAGGCAGCTTCTCCCCACCAGCCAGCACAGGCAAACTGGAAGTGAAGAAGCAACCACTGTCCAATCCTGAATGAGGAGCACTGACATCTAGAGACTGTTTACCTGGTCAGCAAGTAATTCTTCTGCATCTACTGTAGCAACACTTGCTTCTCGGGCCTTTAATATGTTTTAAAGCACTTTTTAAGACCACCCCTCATTTGAGCCTCACACCACCAATGTAAAGTTAGTAAAATGTGCATTATTCTCACATTACACATGACAAATCAAAGCAAGATTAAAACTCTGGCCTCCTGACTTCATTTCCAGGACCATTCCCACTAAAATAATGCATGTTCTTATAAAAGCATTAAGAATGTTATACACTCCCTAGCTGGTTTTACTCAGTGGGCAGAGCATCAGCCTGCGGACTGAAGGGTCCCGGATTTGATTCAGTCAAGGGCACATGTTCTGGTTGCGAGCTCAATCCCCAGTAGGGGGTGTGCAGGAGGCAGCCAATAAATGATTCTCTCTCATCATTGATATTTCTGTCTCTCCCTCTTCCTTCCTCTCTGAATGCTATACACAAGATATTTTACATGACACAGAATTTACAGGGGAAAATAACCACTGAATAACCCCAGCACCCTAGAAAAACCATTGTTAATTTGGTGTGTTTTCCTAGCCTTAAAAAATGCAATCAACTGCATACTGGGTATTTAAAACAAAAGTTTATGGTTTTGCTAACATTTTGTCAGTTTGTGTGGCTTTGGAGTATTATAATAAAGATACTAGTAGAATGAGGCTGTTCAGTAATGATGCCTAACTCATCAAGGTGCTCATTCTGTTGGGTGGAAGCAATCACTTAGTGTGGCAGAAGCTGGAGAGAAACCAGATCAGGAAGGACCAGGAAGTGAAATCTTGAAGTCTATGATTTTAGAGGTGGACGTGACCTTACATTACCATTTTGTTCAATGTGCACATTAGAATTAAGAAAATGAGATCTCCACAAATTAAGTGGCTTGCTCCGTACCAGGAAGGTAGAGAATCTTTAGCTAAGACCAGAATCCCATTTTTAACCCCTGCTCAGGTGGTCTTCCCACTGTACAATTATTCATGGAGTAGCCACATCCCTAACTGCATGTGGCCTCCATTCTTGGGTGGCTGAATTTTTAGACCGGTTTCAAGATTTCACAGCAAATACTGGCTTTGATAATAAACAGAAACAAAGCCACGTTGCCCACTGAGGTTTTAGCAACTCTTTTATTTGAAATGTAACCTGGCAATTTTCAGAGCATTGCAGCACACTGCTCTTCGGCTTCCTTGATTAGACTGTACCTTTCTGCATTTAGTGGATGGTCTTAGGACTGAAATAATTTTTTTTATATTTTATTGATTTTTTTTACAGAGAGGAAGGGAGAGGGATAGAGAGTTGGAAACATCGACGAGAGAGAAACACCGATCAGCTGCCTCCTGCACACCCCCCACTGGCAATGTGCCCAAAACCAAGGTACATGCCCTTGACCGGAATCGAACCCGGGACCCCCCCCCCCCCCCCCGCCAGGTCCATCCACTGAGCCAAACCAGCCAGGGCTGAAATAATTTTTTGTTTTGAAGAGGCAATTTGGCCAAGTTGACAAAAGTCATTGTATGTGTGTGTGTTTTACACACACCTAGAACAACCATTGTTAATTACATATATATGGTCGGAGTTACACACACTTTAAAAAAAAATTGGAGCAGGACCAGAACCCTACAAAGTGACAAATTACTCCTTTTGCAAGTTATTTAAACAGCATCTCTCGGGCCCTTTATGAGAGACAATAACAAGCTCTAGTCTCTGATAGTGCTCATGAAGTAGAAGTCTTTTAAGAGACCCTCATGCAGGTGAAGCAGGTGCTCTCCTCCCCTGGTAGTATTGGACATGCCATACTGTGCCACTGTCTGCCCATTCCCAAGTCACAGATCCTGGTGCAAGGACCACAAGATCGTCCCTCCTGACTACAGCTGACTGAACCAAGATGAGCACGTAACCGACGGGCAGCCAATCCAAGGGTTGGCTGTAAACTTCTGTGGCCTGATATAGAAAGGACAGGGCCAGACCCCACACCTTAGAATCTGAACTAAGAAAAACCAAGGGAACCGGAGCCACATGGTATTATGGCACACAGGAACTTGTGGGAGCCAGAAGTACAGAAAAGATGGAGTAACAGAACAGGCTGCATGGAAGTAAAAAGATGAGACATTAAGAACCATGTACTTAAAAAAAAAAAAAAAATCCCATGATTCCGTAGAGCGGCCTTGGTTCTTCTTCTTTTTTTTTTTTTTTAAATATATATTTTATTGATTTCTTACAGAGAGGAAGGGAGAGAGATAGTTAGAAACATCGATCAGCTGCCTCCTGCACATCTCCTACTGGGGATGTGCCTGCAACCCAGGCACATGCCCTTGACCGGAATCGAACCTGGGACCTTTCAGTCCGCAGGCCGACGCTCTATCCACTGAGCCAAACCGGTTTCAGCGCGGCCTTGGTTCTTGACACCACTTCAGGCTGCGTGGCCCTCTCTGGTTGGTCCTGCACCCCTCTTGATGGCTGCCATTCTGACACCTTCTACGTGTCAGGCTCCGTGCTCCGCACTTTCACAGGTATCCCCTAACCTAACACCTCAGAGACAGAGGTATCCTTCTCCCTATTTTACAGATAAGAAACTAGGCCCATGATGGTTAAATAATGCATGATCAGTATGTTACTTTTGCTGATACCAGGACTTGAATCTAGGTCTGAGTCCATGCTCTAAACCATGAAGCTGTACTAACCCACGTGATGTGGCCTCAAATTAAGGCCTTGCACACTGCCCGCTCCCACTCCCTCCCATCCCCGACCTGACCTAACTTGACTACCTTCTGCTTGTAAGAGCTTGACACTTCCCTAGTCAAAGAATGTCCTCTGTGTACAATGCTGTTTGCTTTGTAGAGTGAAGGGAACAGGATCAAAGATATCAAGCACACCGATAAAACATGTATCTGAAGATAACAGAGTCCCTGGTCTATGAGAGCCTTGTGGGAAGACTTGCTTTTATTCATTGCTACTGAGCAGCCCTTGGGCGCTAGCTGTTGAGGAAGGGATGAGGTGCTTTCCTGCCCTTCCTCAAGAGAAATCCGAGCAGAAATTTGGGTTCTGCCTTAGCCAGTTTTCTCAGTGGTTAGAATGTTGGACCGTGAACTGAAAGGTTGTGGGCTCGATTCTGGTCAGGGGCATCATTAGAAAAAAAAATTTGGGTTCTCCATACCATTTAGAATGAACAGATAAAGGGACGTGGGTCCTTTATACCAACAAGGCTTCTGCAGACAGACAGTGAGCATCTGTTATGCCCCAGTAGGGCATAGGGTCTGGTCATAGTTGAGATAGGCAGGGATACTCAATCTCTCAAAAATGCTCCAAAGAGCAGCCCAGCAGCCCTTCAGTGGGAACTCTGGACTGTTCCTGATGAGGGAAGTTATATAAAGCACTGCTCTAGCAAGAGCCCAACTATGGTGTAACCAACATCAAATATCCAGCAGAAAGGAGCAGTCATCAGCTTTCACTTTCTAGATAAACTTCCATTTATTTCCACATCTGTGGCTGAAACATAGGTTCATCTTATGGTGACAATGAAAAAACCTAGTAAGCAGAGTGAATCTGGTTACAGTCAACACCTGGATCCACTCCAGTGAGATGGTGCCCATTTATGTGATAGTACAGATTTCTTAGTCCAGAGGGCAGCCTAATGAGCATGTTTCTGGCTTTTCCTCTTTCCTATCAAATCTGCTCATGACACCCAATCCACGGGTACTTCTTTAACTGCTCAGTTAAATGCCTGGTTTCACTCAGGAGCCCTGGCTGGACCAAGCTTCTCCATACACTGAAATCTTTTCCACTGATCCATTTTACTTACCCATTCTTGAATTTTATGCAAACTCTCCAATTTGGAGATGGCCTGGTGGAGGGAGAGGAGACCAGAATGCACCATAGTCGAACGTCTAGTGTGTACCAGGGCCAAAGATTAGGAAAACCCCCTACCTCCATCTTTCTGCAGCATTTTAACCCACAGGTCTCTTTTGTTAGTAAGCTCCATGTCCTCAGTAAATCACTGAGTAAAAAAGAACTTTCCATATTACCTAGTCCAACATCATACCTAGAATTCCTTCTCCAGCATCCTGTGGTTAAATGCTTAAATCTGTTCAGAAAAGGGAACATACCACCTAAAGGTAATACTTTTAATTCTTCTCCCTTTTCTTTAAGATCAGGGTGGAAACCAGAGCTGGACCTCCCACTCATGTTCCTAGTGGGTTACCTGTGAAACTAGAATTCCCAGAACCCCCCAATTTTCTCAGAGTACGAGTCTAGATCCTAGTTAGAAAGCTCCCACTATGCCAGCATTCTGTTCCTCATGTCCTGGTTTGTTCTATACCCCTGGGTTTCTTCATCACTTCACATGATTCCTGGTACTGTGACTATCACAGAGTAGATGATATCACTGTGATTATCTGAAGAGCAGCATGTTCAGACAGAGCCTTCCTAGAGGCAAAGCTGGCTGGGGTAAAGACGCTTTTTCCTGGTGTGGTTATGCACAACCAGGCAGGGTAAAGGCTGTGCTAGGTGATAAGGAAAAAATGAGTCCTTCCCTTACTATTTCATAAACAAAGTGTCCTAAGTACTCGCAGACCTTGTTTCCAGGCATCTCAGGAAGATCAGGGGAAACAAAAGAGTGTGGATATAAACAGCTTTTCTGCCTAAGACTTAGGGTTTCTGTATTCTCTGCCTTCCACCTCAGGCTCCAAGCAGGAGTAAAATAACAAATCAAATTGATTTCAGTCAAGTTTCAGCAGGAATGTCTCTGCTTTGATTTTGCTTCTTATTTGGCTTTGCCTGGATAGAAGCCAGAGACAGAGAGAGGATTTTGGCAGAAGAAGCAATGTATCACAAGATCTAAAAAAAAATTTTTCTTAGAAGCTCACTTTTTCTCTTTCACAAGCCTCACTTTGCAGATGAAAATATGAGATCTGTAAAGGAAAAGAAGGGACTTGCGCCCAATTGCAAAGCCACTTAGGAGCAGCACAAGGCTCAGATGCTCCCAGGGGAATGAATGACCCTGACAAAAGGACACATGGTAGCCAAGGTCCCTAAAAGCAAAACCAGCAGGAAGAGGCTATCCCTGTCTGCATCTGGTGCTTAGCTCTCAGTGATCTATGAAATCCCTCAATCTGTCCACTGCCAACTCGGGAATGGCCAGATGGGTGAATATTTTCTAACAGCTCAAGAAAGTTGCATTATCACACCAACACCTCACTACTGAGACAAAAGCTGGGTGTGCCAGTGTACCTAGCTTTTCTGAAACTCCATAATGCTTTTGGAAAGTGCTGTGATTTTTTTTGCTGAGGACTGTCAAGAATATCAGACACTAGAAATAGAAAAGCCATCTTATTGGCTTATAAATAACAAGAACTGGAAGTACCTCTAAGAAACATGGTTCAGGCATAAAGGTTAGGCTGTCATCATTTCTCTGGGATTTCTAGCTTTTACAGCTGGGGCTGAGTACACTGTTCCAAACTTTTTAGACCAGGAACTCGGCAGAGGTTTCTGGCAGTTTAAATGCCAGTGAGAGGCTTAATGCTGCAAATCAAGCTGGTGAAAGTTAAGCACTGTTCTCAAGAAGCTTTTAAAGTCAGATTTCTTGCTCACCCAATATTTAACAAAATGTACTTAAAAAGAATTAGTCTAGGAAGGCCGTATTGAGCTATCATTTGGGAAGACAGTCCATTAGCACATGAGTGGACTTTAGCTAGCATTGGAAGGAGCAGGACTATGGACTGAGGCTGGAGTACTTTCTTCCAACAACTGTCTTATCATCAGGGGACTAATGAAAGGCTCTGCCTCAGATGGGCTTCAGGCTTTGGAGGTTCTTCCCATGTAACTGTCTCTACCCAGAGCTGCAATCATCCTCAATCTATTACCCTGTCATGAATTACCAAAGGCCAAATCATGTTTTCCTCTCTCTGCAATTTCTGCTTAGGTCTCATTTTTTGAAAAGATGGGGATGCTGGGCTCTTTCTGTGTTTCAAAATGTGTTATTCTTGGCCAAGCCAGGGTGATTCAATGGTTGAGTGTCGACCTATGAACCAGGAGCTCACGGTTCAATTCCTGGTCAGGGCACATGCCTGGGTTGCGGGCTCCATCCCCAGTGAGAGCCATGCAGGAGGCAGCCAATCAATGATTCTCTTGCATCACTGTAGTTTCTATCTCTCTCCCTTCCTCTCTGAAATAAAAAAAATGTTAAAAAAAAGTGGTATACTTGTATGCTGTGAAGTTCCCAAACTCAAGCATGTCTCTAGTCAAGTGTACAGGACCCCAAATGCATCAACATACCAATCAATAGTGATTACTTCAGGAGTGGAGGGGCTCATGCCCCTTTCTCTTGTCCTGGGTGAGCATGGATAACCGGGAGGGAGGTTCACAAAACTCCCCCTCCACTACCCTCCCCATACCACTGATTGGCCTCTAGACCTTCAGTGTTAACGCCTAGGCCAGAGGTTTCGAGCCCCGTTAAGAGAGGACCTGGGGGGTCAGGTGGCTGTCCAGATGGGTCACTCTCACCCCCACAGCCTCCGTTGTGGCCTGAACGTAAGTGGTCCTTAAGCGTCTGTTTGTAGCGGAAGCTCCTGCCGCAGTAGGCACAGGGGTAGGGCCGCTCGCCCGTGTGGATGCGCTGGTGCTTCATGAGGTGGTGCTTGCGGATGAAGCTCTTGCCGCATTGCGTGCAGCTGAAGGGCCGCTCGCCCGTGTGCAGCCGCCGGTGGTTCAGCAGGTGCTCCTTGCGCATAAAGCTCTTACTGCAGTCAGTGCACGGGTAAGGACGCTCGCCTGTGTGGATCATCTGGTGGCGGATCAGGGCCGAGTGGCCATTGAAGTCAATGCCACACTGCGGGCAGGAGAAAGGCCGCTCCTGCGCATGCCCGCGCTGGTGGAGCAGGAGGCTGATTTTCAGGCTGAAGCTCCGGCCACACTGCGTGCAGCGGAAGGGCCTCTCGCTGGCGTGAGCTCGCCGGTGGTTGGTGAGGCGGGCCTGGTCTGCAAAGCGCTTGGGGCAATCAGGACAGGGGAAAGGGCGCTCAGTGCTGCTATGGACCCGGAGGTGATAGGTGAGTCTTGACGGGTGAGTGAAAGTCCTGGCGCAGTGCGGGCAGGTGGGGGGCGTCTCATTGGCATGGGCCTGGGGGTTGCTGCCAAGCTCGGCTTGCTGAGAAAAGTGCTTGGGACACTGGGCACAGGATAAGGGGTGCTCACCAGTGTGGCTACACTGGTGGGTCAGCAACATGTCTTGGCTGAGGCTCTTGCCACAGTGGTGGCATGAGAACATCTGCTCTCCAGCAGGGGGCGGCAGGGGATAGCTACCCAACTGAGTGAACGTCACTTGTCCCTCAGAGGCTTCTGCCAGGTCAGTGGCTGGATGTACAAAAGGTGTCATGGATGCAGGTTGCTGGCCTTTGAAAGCCACATCTGAAAAAGTATCCTTTGCTGCTGCTGGTGGTGGAGAAGAGAAGGTGACTGGAACCTCGGGGCACAAGGAGGCTCTGGAAAGGCCTTCGGCTTTGATGACAAGCTGTTCATCTGAAAGAAAGGACTCAGAGTCATACCCACCAAAAGTCTCACAGCAACTGAGTGTCGTGAGTGTGTTCTCAGCTGGCTCCGATAAGAAGCTCAGTGTAGGGCTGAGATAATCATCAAGCCATCCATGGTGCCTGTGGCAAATCATCAGAGAATTTACTACTGAACATCTTCAATGCTCCCTGTTTGGAAAGGAACAACCTTGGCATCAATCTTCCCAGCATTACTTTCATTATGTTCCTCCTCTGCTCACAAACTTTGCAAGAGTCTCTGTTGCCTATTGTGACAGGCCTAAACTCATGTATTAATCTACTCCCATTCCTGTATTCTGCCAGATAAATCCTTCACGATTGCTAGCTCTCTCTTTACTGTCCCTGAAAATGATGTACACATTTCTGCTTCACATCTCTGCTTACTCTGCCCTTCCTTTTGTAGAATGCATCCACCCTCTTCCAAATTATACCCAGCACTTCATACCAACCATCCAGGGCCCAGTTCTGGCTTCACCTCCTTCTTTAGGCCTTATCTAAAAATGTAAACTGAAACCAATGCATATTCTCCAAACTTCTCATTTCTTGTATATAAGTCACCCATCCCACTCACCCCTGACACTTAACAACAGGCAGGCCTAGTATTGATGTGTGTCCCCAATATAAATATCTTGAAGAACAGAAACTGTCTTATTTCCTAGATTCTGAAAGAACATAGGGCATAGAGGCTATTAAAAGTCAGGTTGTGTAAACAATCAGGTACCTTCTGATCTTGAGATTCTCTTCTATAATTCAGATAGCAAAATAAAGATGGTGCTACCTACCTTAAAAGAAAGATAATTTGTTTTGTTTCCCTTCATCATTTCCCCGAGGGCCAGCTCTTTATCCATAGTCCCATTTGTGCTTCCCCAATGATACTTTTGTCTCCACTGCTTGTCCTGCTCCCCTCCCCGCTTTTTGTTCTATTCTTTCTCCATGATCTTTAAATGTTCTTCTGTCTTTCCCCATCCTCATATTTTCGGTCTATCTGTATGCACTTATTTTCTTCCTCTGACAATTCTAATTTGTCTTTACACTTAAGAGTGTGTTTTCTTGCCCAGCCGGCGTGGCTCAGTGGTTGAGCGTTGACCTATGAAACAGGAGGCCATGGTTTGAGTCCTGGTTGGGGCCCGGGGAAGTGGGCTCGATCCCCAGTGTAGGGTGTGCAGAAGGCAGCCAATCAATGATTCTCTCTTATCACTGATGTTTCTATCACTCTCTACCTCTCCTTTCCTCTCTGAAATCAATAAAAATATTCCTTTTTAAAAAGAGTGTGTTTTCTCACTTTAAATGTATCTTAATTTGATTTGTTTCATTTCTAACTTACTTGAGTATGTCTTTTTTCCCCCTTTTCCCATTCTTCTCTCACCTCCTTGCCTCCACAACCCATTTCACTGCTGTGTCTTCAGTCAGTCCTGGCAAAGCTGGACTTGGGCATGAAGGTCTCTTCGATGAATTACTCACCAGCATAGGTACCCTTGTATATGTCACTCTGCTTGGACTCCTGTGGGGGCCCAACCTGGGGCTCTTCCTCTTGTTTAATCCAAGACAGAATATCTGATGTTGAAATGACAGGCTCTATTTGTGGGGGGAAAAGAGAATGGCCTTCAGGGACTTGAATAAGAAAGTGAAAATAATCATGTTGGTTTGTTGAATACTACACATTTTGCCCAAATTTAACTATAACAACAAAATGGAGTCAGCCTTTAAAAAATGCTTACAACACTTAGAGAACTAGTTCAAAATGAAGCCAAATTTATTTTTACATGATGTACTCAGCTTGATTCACTATTTTCAGTGAGCCCATTTCAAAACAAGTACATTTTTATTTTGGAGATGACACCCATAAATAATCTAAAATTGCCCAAGCCAGTATGGCTCAAAGGATAGAGCGTCGGCCTGTAGACTGAAGGGTTCGATTTCGGTCAAGAGCATATGCCTGCCTTGCCCTAACCGGTTTGGCTCAGTGGATAGAGCATCGGCCTGCGGACTGAAGGGTCCCAGGTTCGATTCCGGTCAAGGGCATGTACCTTGGTTGTGGGCACATCTCCAGTAGGGGGTGTGCAGGAGGCAGCTGATCAATATTTCTCTCTCATCGATGTTTCTAACTCTCTATCCCTCTCCCTTCCTCTGTATAAAAAAAAATCAATAAAATATATTAAAAAAAAAAAAAAAAAAGAGCATATGCCTGGGTTACGGGCTCAATCCCCAACAGGGGGCATGCAGGAGGCAGCAGATCAATGATTCTCTCTCATCATTGATGTTTCTCTCTCTCCCTTCCTCTCTGAAATCAATAAAAATACATTTTCCAAAAAAAAAAAAAGAAAAGAAATAATCTAAAATCAATAGTACCTTACATTTCATTAGCACAATTACTTTAAAAATATTTCCATTTTTGCCCTAACCGGTTTGGCTCAGTGGACAGAGCGTTGGCCTGGGGACTGAAAGGTCCCAGGTTCGATTCCAGTCAAGGGCATGTTACCTTGGTTGCGGGCATATCCCCAGTAGGGGTGTGCAGGAGGCAGCTGGTCGATGTTTCTCTCTCATCGATGTTTCTAACTCTCTATCCTTCTCCCTTCCTCTCTGTAAAAAAATCAATAAAATATATTTAAAAAAATATATTTCCATTTTTTGTTTCATAGCTTTTTTATGAAATAAGGAATATTCTCTCCATTTAAGTAGAGGGCCCACAGAAGTTAAATAGATAATAAATATTTATGGTAAGTACCTTATGTTCAATAATTTACTTTAAAATATAGCAGAAAAAAACACAAAGAAACAAGGATGTCCAGCAATTTTTTTCTTAAATGTTAATTAAAAAACAAATATACTTCCAGAATTACAAAGTTAGGTTAAGTTTAAATACAGACCTGACGCCTCAGAAACATATTTTTCAGGTTCCCAATTCTAGGCTCTCTCTAAGACATCATATTACCTTTGCCTATTAAATTACACAGGTCTTTGTTTCCTGAATGCTGGGGTGGGGGAAAATAGTGTTTATAAGTCCCTCAGACCTTGGAGGTTCTTTCAGAAAGAAAAGCCTCCAGAAGCTTATAACATGCCTCATCTGGTCAGCAAGAAACAGCTATGCTTGCTATTCCAGCTGAGGCCTATATAACCTTTTTTGGACTAAAAGAACAAGCTGGCAAGCTGACAAGGTCCAGAGAGTAAATTCATGCTCTCTATATTACTGGTATTTCTCAGAAAAGCCTTATAGGCAGGTTATGGCTTTATCCTTAGAAATTGAGGACGCACTGGTTTTCCCAATGCCTTTGAGTCAGAGACCACTGAAATCTAAAGGTATACCCCAAGCAGAAATAAGAGCTTGAACAAAACTAAGGCCCAAAGATAGTCAGGTTACACAGAGACTGGACACAGGTTTTAGCCCTTTCCAACATCCCATTTTGAGCTACAAGGTTGAAATGTATTAAACATGCTCTGACCTTAACTTTTCTTTTTCTTTCAGGTTTTATATACACACATATAAAGAAAGAAGCAGAGGGGAAAGGCTAAGTATAAGGAAAAGGATCTTTTAACAGACATCCATAGGATGAACTTTCTCTTCAACGATACGAGACTTTTAGAATGTTTAATTGCTGCCCTGACCAGTGTGGCTCAGTTGGTTGGGTGTCCAGTTTGATTCTCACTCAGGGCACATGCCTGAGTTGTGGGCTCAATCCCTGGCAGGGGGTGTACAGGAGGCAGCCGATCAATGTTGATGTTTTGCTCTCAGTGATGTTTCTCTCTCTCCAAAAATAAATAAAAAGCCTTTAAAAAATGCTTAATTGCTTCTCTGCATCAATTTTCTGAGTAACAAGTTAGTGCTCTCAAAAACCTCAAAGTAATTCAAGTGGCTCTGACATTTGTTTTTATCATTACAAACTCATAGAACGTTATATATTTGATGAGCTCCAATCCACTGTAGTCATTATTCTTTTTAATACTCAAATGGTCCTTACTTTGGCCAGCAGGAGCCCCCTCAGATCTGCTCTCTGTCATTTCGCATCATCAAACATCTGTGGGTTTTTTCCCATTTCTGATATGACAAACTATCTCAGGTTCACCTTGGACATTCCAAGCACACAATCAATGGAATTTAGACACCACACTCTGGATGATAAGGATGCTAACTGCTAATAGGTTGTCACTGCTTCTACTTTTCAATGGATGGAGCTATAAAAGACATACCTTTTAGAAAAAGGAAAGTGTCATGAGTTTATATTCATATTTAAGATTATAAGATTTTAATTAAATCCTTTGATTTAATACTTGTATCTTTTCTCTCTCACCCTGAAAATTTTGGTTCCTAATGACATTAACATGATCTTAAAAAATTTAAGTAAAATATTTACAAAATCAAAACTGTAGCCCTGGCCAGGTGGCTCAGTTGCTTAGAGCACTGTTTTGTACACCAAAAAGGTTATGGGTTCGATTCCCAGTCAGGGCATATACCTAGGTTGCAGGTTCAGTCCCTGGTCGCGGTGCATATGGGAGGCAACTGATCGATGTTTCTCTCTCACATTGATGTTTCTTTCTCTCTCTCAAATCAACAAAACATATCCTCGAGTGAGGATTAAAAACAACAACAATAACAACAACAACAATAAAACCCTATAAAACAGTACATTCAGAGAGGTCTAGTTTCCACTTCTAGTCTCTTTCTCCCTAAATAGATAGCTGTTCTTACTGGTTTTTGTTCTAATCTTCCATTGTTTCTTTGTGAAAATATAAGCAAGTATGTATACATCTTGATATTTTCCCCCCTTTATGTGGCATACTAGACAAACTGTGCTGTACCTTGATTTTTTTACATACCTAGACAAACTGGGCTGTACCTTGCATTTTTTTCATTGACAGTATATTCTGGACATGTCCACGGCAGCCTTAGAGATCTTTCTCATTCCTTCTCATAGCTGTTCTGTGTAGCTGTACCACTGTTTATTCAAGAATTTCCTATTGATGGGCATTTGGATTCTCTCCAACCTTTGGGTACAATATTAGTCAGCGGCCGACCATAAAAGCTATGCAGAACTGAAAAAAACTAAGCCAGTTGTCTAGAAGTGTAGGTTGTTAATACAGTTCATTGGCTATGTATGTCTTCATTAAACTTGGGAAATCCCAGAAAGCTAACCATACTTTTTGAATAATGATGCTAAAAGTTTCTCTGGTCACTTAACTAGATCAGTATAAGTAAGTTAATATTTACTGGATTAAATAATTAGGTCTTAACCCTACAGTGCATAGAATTCGGTTATATCAACTACAGTGTGGTGAAAGTGGTGGGAGTATATAACCTGAGGACCTTTTATAAATAAAAGATCAGGAGAACTTGGATACTAAGATACAGGACTGATACAGATACCTGTGTGGTGACAGTATGGCAACTGCTGGCCAGGTCACCACAATGGCACTCAAAGCACATTCCTCACAGGCCTCAGGAATCCCAACAGTGGACACTTAAAAACATACAAAATGAACGCGAAATCATTAGTTTATGCCAACAACAGGGTCTGGAAAAAGCAAGAGAATCCAGAAAAACTGAATACTGACCAGGTAAGAGGAAGGTGATAAATGCTGAGGTTTTAAGGTTTGAGAGGTAGTCAATAATAGAAAGTCTGATCCACTGAGCCAAACCGGTTCCGGCAGCACACTGGTTGACTATTATTTTAACTATGAGGAAATCTGATTTTGTGTTGTGTGTATGTTTTAAACAGATAAGGGCCATGCTGTCTGAACGGAGCTGGAACCTTGAGGTTCTGGGATGTATACAAAGATATAAACTGAGTTAAAACTGGTACTGAGATCTGACTCCTTAAGGCTTAAAGCTTAAGCAGACAAAAAATATTTGATACATGCAAATACCATGGGTAAAAATATAAAAATTAATATTTTGAAACTTTCTGTGAAACAGGTGTGGAGCTGTAATAGGTGAATGTGTTAAGTATTTGTGTAATAATTCAAAATCTTTAAGTTTTATCATTTCCAGGATGATTCTTGTTCTCAAATAGGATAAACTAAAATAAAAGGATTATATTGGGATGTGCCTTAATCACTGATTTTGCTTATGAAAAGATGGTCTTGCCGGACCAGAGTGAAGAGGAAGAAACATGGGATAATGGTGATACACCTAAAACAAAGATGATCAAAGTCTCCCCAGCTCACGTCAGATGGAAAGACACATACAAACTGAAAGTAAAGGGATAGAAAAAGACATTTCATGAAAATGGATACACAAAAAAAGCTGAGGTAGCAATACTTACAACAGATAAAATAGACTTTAAAACAAAGGCTATATAACAAGAGACAAAGAAGGATCCACTTCGGGGTATTTATCCAAAGAAACCTAAAACCCTAAATCGAAACACATATTACTTACAATAGGCAAGATATGGAAGCAACCTAAGTGTCCATCGACAGATGAGTGGATGGAGAGGTGGTGCATGTACACAATGGGATACTACCCAGCCATAAAGAAGATGAAATGCTGCCACCTGCAACACCCTGGATGAACCCAGACGGTATTATTCTGAGTGAAATGAGTCAGACAGAGGAAGACAACTGCCAGATGACTTCACTTATATGTGGAACATAAAGAACAATATGAACAAACAAGCACAACAGAAACTGACCCATAGATAGAGAATATTTTGATGGTTGCCAGATGGGAAGTGGGGTTGGAGGGATGGGTGGAAAAAGTGAAGGGATTAAGAAGTAGAAATTGGTAGTTACAGAATAGTTACAGGGATGTACAGTACAACACAAGGTATATAGTCAATATTCTATAATAATAAAAGGGTGATATGCTAATTAGACCGGACGTCCTTCTGGGGGAAGCTGGTGCCTGCGGGCAGCCAGAGGAAAGCCGGCCTGGGTCCCGGGTGCCTGCCAGCAGCTGGAGGGAAGCAAGCCCAGGTCCCCGGTGCCAGAGGGAAGTTGGTCCCGGCAGTCAGGGGAAGGAAGGCCTACCCTTGCACAAATTTCGTGCATCGGGCCTCTAGTACTATAATAATTATGTATCAGATGCTTACTAGATTTATCAGGGTGATCACTTAGTAAGTTATATAATGTCTAATCACTGGCTCGTACACCTGAAACTAATAATATTGTATGTCAACTGTAATTGAAAATTAAAAATAATTTTAAAAAAACCCACCCAAAACAGGCCATTTCTTAAAAAAAAAAAAGAAGAAGAAGTCTCCTCAGGACCACAAGATTTAGAAATAAATATATTTTACTTTTGGGTCATTCTTGGCTGGATAATGACTTTTAGTAATTATCCCATCTGACCCTCTTGTTTTTCTCAAAAGAATTTTAAAAACCTGGAGTTCAGTTTTAAAATTATCAGTAACCACCCTGGCCGAATGGCTCAGTTGATTGGAGCATGCACCAAAAGGTTGCAGGTTCAATTCCCAGTTAGGGCACATACCTAGATTGTGGGTTTGATCCCCAGTCAGGGCGTGTACGGGAGGCAACGTGATCGATGTTTCTCTCTCACATCAATGTTTCTCTCTCTAAAAAAATAAGTAAAAAGTACATATGTTCAGATGAGGATTAAAACAAAACAAAACCTACCAGTGACCAAATAATGGCCACATACACACAGCTGGTCTGCAGTTTAGTCCTAGTAATAGAATTAAAGAAGAATTTCAGAAAATTTCAACTTTTTATTTTTTTGTATTCTCCCATTCTCTAATTGCATGCAATTTTATCTAAGATACTAGGTATCAAAGACTATTCCATATAACATTCTCTAATTGCATGCAATTTTATCTAAGATACTAGGTATCAAAGACTATTCCATATAAGGATATAATAATTTATCTTTCCCTTCATCGGATTTAGACAATGGTGATGGAGAGTATAAAATTAATTCCATTCTACACATATGTTTTTATTTAATCACAATGTACTTCTGAAAGCTCCATGGAATACAATAATAAATTATGGGTTTTATTTTATAAGAATTATGGGAATAAGATGATTGCTTCTTGGCCTTTTGGCCAAGATCAGGTGTAGAATAAGATGAAAAAGGATTTAAGTAGTTAAAGTGGAGAATAATCTATCAAAAAGATATTTTGCTAGTTCTGTCACTGAAGTGGTCTAGAATTAGTATCCTCCACCTAATATTCATGTGAAATGATCTGTTATGCACCTTAAGGACCAGACGGTTTAATTCTATTCTCCACTGAAAGGAACCAGGGTGTTTTTAATGTGTAAGGAGAGCAGAAATCTACATAGGCCTCTGTTAGAAAGACCTGCTTGCAAGGTTGGCCCCTGGCTGGCAAACAGTTGCCTATACTGACGTAAAACTTTCCCTAAATGTTAAGAGTGCCTCAGGGGGCCTACAATGTATATGTGGTTTATGCTGAACACCTGCTTTCCTCTCGGAAGTCTGGAATTTTGGTATGTGTTCGGCAGAGGGTGCCTACATGCCCATCTCCCATGAAAACATTGGGTGCTGAGTCTCTAATCGGTTTCTCTGAGAGACAACACTCTGCAAGTGTCACAACCCCATGCTAGAGAAATTGAGTGAGTCCTCTACAGAGCAGAGGCCTCTGGAAGCTCCAGTTTCCTCCAGACTTTGCCTTGTGCCTTTTATCTTTGCTGGTTTCCTTTGTGTCCTTTTGCTGCAATAAATCTTAGCCCTGAGCATGACTATATGCTGAGTCCTGTATGTCCTCCTAGTGAGTTACCGAACCTGAAGGTGGTCTTGGGACCCCAAACACAGCCTGGAACTTTTAAAAAATATATATTTATTGATTTCAGAGAGGAAGGGAGAGGGAGAGAGAGATAGTAACATCAATGATGAGAGAGAATCATTGATAGGCTGCCTCCTGCACAACCCACACTGGGGATCAAGCCCGTAACCCAGGCATGTGCCCTGACTGGGAATCAAACCGTGACCTCCTGGTGCATAGGTCAATGCTCAACCATTGAGCCATGCCAGCCAGGATCTATTTTTAAAAACAAACAAACAAACAAACAAACAAACAAGTACTGTCTTACTGGTTTGGCTCAATAGTTAGAGATTCGGCCGACTGACTGAAGGGTCTCAGGTTTGATTCCAGTAAAGGGCACATACCTTGGTTACAGGGTCGATTTCTGGCCCTGGTTGGGGCTCATGCAGGAGGCAATCAATCAATGTGTTTCTCTCACACCAATGTTTCTCTCTCTCTCTCTCTCCCCCTCACTTCAATTCTTTCAAAAAATCAATGGGAAAATGTCCTCAGGTGAGGATTAACCAAAAAACAATAAATAAATAATAAATAAATAAATAAATAAATCAGATAAAAGTAATAACTTATTGCTTAAATTTCCATAAGAAAAAAATCATGTTTGAAGAAAACAGTACTGAGGTAGTACTGAAAGGACACAGGAGACAATGTAACGTCCTCTCACTAGCCAAGCTGACAGTTGAAACAACACAAAGAAAATAACTGACTTAATAAACTCTTGAATATATAGTTCAGCGGTTCTCAACCTGTGGGTCGCGACCCCTTTGGCAGTCGAACGACCCTTTCACAGGGGTCGCCTAAGACCATTCTGCATATCAGATATTTACATTACGATTCATAACAGTAGCAACATTACAGTTATGAAGTAGCAACGAAAATAATTTTATGGCTGGGTCACAACATGAGGAACTATATTTAAAGGGCCAGAAGGTTGAGAACCACGGATATAGTTAAACATAAAAAGGGGGAAATATAAAGGGTTCTAAAGATAGACAAACTTGAGGGGCTTTTCAGTGCTATATATTGATTGGTCCAAGTCTTAAGACTCCTCTCTTCAAGTTCTGGTAAATGTTTAGGTTGTTAATCACCAATGAAAACTAAATTGTAAAGAATCAAACCACAGTATTAAGTAAATTCAAAGCTTATACTATTTAATTTTAACTAAAAATGTATAAACATATATAGGTTGACTATCCACAAGTTGACAAGATGGCAGCTAAATAAAACTTTCAGACATCATTACAAAACCAAATTACTTATATCTTTTCCATTCATCCCCCAAAATAAAATGACACATTGATTTTATCCTTGCTGAGGGCTATGTCAGGTAACTAATAACGTAGAATAAGAATAATGCATGTTTCTGATCAAGTCACTCATCTCTATTTGTGATAAGACTCATTACATATATTCATGACATAGATATTAATCAAATTCAACCTATTATATTGCCTAAATACTATCACTCACACATTCTTAAAAATAATGTGTGGCAGATATATCCTTACCACAGAGAGAATGTTCATTTAAGATTTGAGCACTTCATTACATGTAAAATTTACCTCAAAAGACTTATATGCATGCATATAAGCATAACCAATGGACATAAGACATTGGGGGGTAGGGGAGGCCAGGGGATTGTCAAGGGCGGGGGGGAAAAAGGAGACATATGTAATACCCTTTGTAATACTTTAAGCAATAAAAAAAAGAAAAAAAAAGAAAAAACAAAACTGAACTCTAGATTAATGATATTCATGCTAAACTACGTAGGGGGACATGTGTTGATGTCTCTACTGATTTTGAAATATAATGAAAATAGAATGGATGAATTGATGGATAGAGGGGTGTAGAGATGGGTATATATGTGATAAAGTATAAAATGTTAGTGGTAAAACCTAGGTGACAGGTATCTAGAGGTTCGATGTAAAATTATTTTTACTTTTCTGATTGCTTTAAATCTTTTGTAATAAAATGTTAGAATAAAATAACAGTAGATGAGACGGGGAGGGGGAGAGGGGGGTTGTACATTCATCTAGTAGAGACATCTGGAGGATGAGGTTTCTGTGAGCTTTCTATCCAGCAAAGAACAAAAATGGCATGGATTTTTCTGCTAGCAGAGGTGGACATTGGCTAGCAGTCTTTCCCACACAAAACCAAGCAGCTTAACAAAAAATATATTAGGGATGGTTACTTAATGATAGCTGGTTCCCACACTGGGCAGCATTTGGTTGAGTGCATCTCTCTGAGGAACCCTGAAGATCCCAGCACTTCTCAGTGACCAGGTGTACATTCCCCGGAAGGCACTTTCCTTCCAGATGAGCACCACTGCTTGTTCTGCCACCTAAGGACATGTTTATTTTACTAAATAACTAGGGTTCACAACCTTTGTCATGGGATGCAACTAGCAGTGCTCACATGTGTGGTACTGATGGGTGAAGACATGGGACAAGGTGGTCTCTCCGCTCATTCTCTAACTGACCCAGTCAGTCTAGTTGCTGTGGCACTGAGAGGCTCTAGAAGCCACCAGGCCTGCTTCTTCAGTCCTGAGCCATCATCTCTGACCAATGAAATCTAGGTGACAGGTATACAGGAGACACGGAGTGGCCAATCTTTCCTCTCGTTTACCTTCACTGGGGTCGGTGGGAATCTCACTTTCCTCTGGCCCCGCATGATCCTCCGTATTATGTTCTCCTTCTGGCTGAATCTGAGATAAGACATCAGGCTGATTCATGGCATAATCTAGGAGTAAGAAGGCAAAGGAGGTGTAACAAACAGATAAATCAGAATGACAACTAACTGCCATCAAGGTTGAACTGAGGCTTTTTTTTAAAAATATATTTTATTGATTTTTTACAGAGAGGAAGGGAGAGAGATAGAGAGTTAGAAACATCGATGAGAGAGAAACATCGATCAGCTGCCTCCTGCACATCTCCCACTGGGGATGTGCCCGCAACCCAGGTACATGCCCTTGACCGGAATCGAACCTGGGACCTTTCAGTCCGCAGGCCGACGCTCTATCCACTGAGCCAAACCGGTTTCGGCTGAGGCTTTTTTTATAAATCTTTACCCCAGGATATTTTTTCCATTGACTTTTTTTTTTTTTTTAAGAGAGAGTGGAAAGAAGAGAGGGTCTGTGGAGGGAAAGGGAGAGAGAAACATCGATGTGAGAGAGACACATCAACTGGTTGCCTCCCAGACCGGAGCTGGGGGATTGAACCCGTGCTAACCATTGAGCAACTGGCCAGGGAGAGCTGAAGGCTTTGGGGTCCACAGTCCAAGCAGATTTCTTTTAAATTATAGATCACTTCTCCCCATCCACTCACCTCCAACTATATCTGTTAGGAAAATAGGTAAGAGGAGAGGTAATGTGTGGGAAAAGTACACGGGATACTTTGGCACAGCCCACCTGCTACTTTCATTGAGTAAGAGTGACAGTGTGTCTCAAGGGGAGGAATCAAGGCCCTCCCAAAGTGAAGGCTACCCATGGAAACCACTGCATAGCTCTGAACTTCATTCTCTGTCCTATGTTTGGCACAAGGAGAAATTATATTTCCTATTTAGCAAGTATGAACTAGATATCTGTGGCTTGGAAGCAGAATCTGAAGTGTGTAAGGACAGCATGAAAATGAGGACCACTGGAGGAAAAGGGCCTGTTCTGAGCCCTCCTGGGGCTGCTATCACCTACTCACAAGGTGCCAACTCAGCCTCACCCATAGAGATGAGAGACTCGTAGTTGCCCTTCATGATATTCTTGTAAAGTTCCTTTTGCCATTCTTCTAACTTTTCCCACTCTGGAGTGGAAAAGTAGATGGAGATATCATCAAAGGTCACAGGCACCTGAAATTACAATGACAGTGGGGTTAGTCCCTCCCACTGCAATTCAATCATTCAGTAAACCTACTAGTACACTAAGTGCCTTCTAGTTATAAAAAACTATGTGAGCTGCTGAAAGGTTACAGGAAAAAAAATTAAGACACAGATCCAACCTCCAGGAGTTTACAATGTTTTCAAGGAGAAAGGTGGTAAGCTTCAGGGCTACAGTCACTCAGAGATAGGTACAAATGAGAAACAGTATTTAATTCACACAACATAACATATTCTGAATACTCACTAAGTACTAAGCCTATTCAAAGAACCAGGATTATAAAAATAAGCTTTCTGCTCAAAAGGAGCGCTTGGCTGTATTCGAATTAATGACATGGACAAAAAATTTTGGAAATAGCTATACTGGGGCTGTGGTGAGTCTAGAAGAGATAGGACTCTAGCTAGTCTAAAGGACAGGTAGATTATAAACAGGCTAGAGCCACCAATTGCTCATTTTTACATCTTTTTAAAAAATATTTTTTTATTGATTTCATAGGGGAAGGGAGAGGGAGAGAGAGAGAGAGAAACATCAATGATGAGAAAGAATCATTGATCAGCTGCCTGCTACACACCCCACACTGGGGATCAAGCCCACAACCTGGGCATGTACCCTGACTGGGAATCAAACCGCGACCTCGTGGTTCATAGGTCGATGCTCAACCACTAAGCCACCCTGGCCGGTCTCATGTTTACATCTTGCTCAGCACCTAAAATTGTTCTTAGGGCAAATGTAGATACTCAATAGTTTATTTTAATCTAACCTCACTACACAAAAGATTTGTGATAGCTTACAACAAAAATACAGATGATAAAATAATGACAAAAATAAAGGATCAGGATGGGCTTCTGGTTCCAGGTTTTGAACTAAGCACACATGTACTTCCCTTCCTTGTCAGAGTTCCATTGAAATGACAGTATGTAAGATCGAGAGGGACTGTATCTACAACAGCACCAAGAATGAGAAGGAAAGGCCATCACTAGACCAGAATTCTTAATGAGTTTCTCACTGAGACCCAGAGGATGGGCTCCTGCTGGGGTCTAAGGTGCATGAGGAAGCGGCACCTCCCTGCACATGGGAAAGGACTGCAGGTGAGGAACCCAGAGAATTCCAAGCTGAAAGCTGGCAGATACACTGAGTAGGAATGCAAGTGATTATAAACTGCAGTTTGAAGGTCCATCTTTAGAATAGTGGGCCCCCCACTGTCATCCTCATCAGCCCTGTCAGAGTGGAGTAGCAGCAGCCTTTACCACAAAACTGAAACCACAAACCTCACCTGTAAAGAAATTGTCTCACCTGCCTGGAGACAGCATGGGATACCTATGGGCTGACCACTAGGTACCATCTTCCGCCTGGCCTCTGGGTGGTCCCTGCACTGCCTATTTACTCCTTGTCACAGAACCTTAAAGTGAAGCCCATCTGTATGAGGCACCTACAGACCTAACCCTGTCCTGCAAAGGGAAGATCCTTTGGTTAAACAGACTTATGCAGTGGCTGAGAAGACATGCCAGCTTCCTATAATTAACCTATTAATCAATGGAATCCTCTACTTATAAATATAAATATGTAATCGAGGATTACGCAATATAAAAACAGCACCAAGATGAACAAAAACTACAAATAATCCTAGAGGGGAAAAAAAAACACCCAATAAACTGAAAATCAAACAAATCTCTAACACACAGTCCCAGAGAAATTCAAACACATATTGCATCCATTTAAAAAATTCAGGTTGTTTTTTAAAAAAAAACAGAAAAGAAATATTCTTTTTTAAAAAAATATAAAATATATTTTATTGATTTTTTACAGAGAGGAAGGGAGAGGGATAGAGAGCCAGAAAAATCGATCAGCTGCCTCCCGCACACTCCCCACTGGGGATGTGCCTGCAACCAAGGCACATGCCCCTGACCGGAATCGAACCTGGGACCCTTGAGTCCGCAGGCTGACACTCTAACCACTGAGCCAAACCAGTCAGGGCAATATTCTTGAAAAATAAATATAAAATTGTTTAAATAAAAATTAGAAAGGCTAGAAGGGAAGGTCACAGAACTCTAATTAAAAAGGTGAAAAGCATGAAGGAAGAAAAAAATATATATCTATAATAATAAAAGCATAATATGCTAATTAGATCTGATGTCCGGAA